CTAATTATTCACTCCCTTAAATGGGCCTGGGAGGGACGGAATTACTCACTCGGAACTGGGGAGACGGAGCTGGCCAGCTAGCCAGCAAATCCTGGGGCTGATAGAGCTGCTCCCTTGGAATACTGATTAGAGCAGGCGCCTCGGGACAAAGGCAGGCCAGGACGCCACTCCCCGCCCCTGCTCCCCCAGGAATTTGGGGTCCAGAGGAGAAAGGGACCCTGGCAGAGTCTAATTGGAGGAGGGCACCTGGGAAGGGTCCGGGTGAGGTGGGGGCCTGGGGTTGCAGAAGGTGGAGGAGAGGCAGGAGGGGCAAGCAGGGCAGGGGAGGAGGCGGTGGGGTTGGCTGGCAGAGGGGCTTGGCCCCTGCTGGCTCCTAGGAGGAAGCCCCTCTGCCCCCAGGCGCCGCCGAGTGCCAAGCCCCACGCTCATCGCCCTCGTGATGTCCACGGTGGGTTGGCAGCCTCGTGGTCTCAGATGGGGAAAGCTGAGGCTGGGGAGGGGGAGGGAACGCATGCAGCCAAATCAGGGCAGAGCTGTGGTCAGTTCTGGCCAGTTCCAGAGCGCCGAACCCCAGCATAACCGAGGGTGCCTCCCAGACCAGCGGAGCACAATTCAGGGTGTGGGTGTCAGGGCCGCAGTCCAGCTTCGCCAACTGTGGTCTGAACTTAATTCCACCAGGCCGAGAACCACGCCCCTGCCCCGCGCCTCCATGCTCTGGCCTTACCATGGCCGATGGCGAAGATTGCGGCCTGCGTGGGACAAGCGGGACAGGCTGATGGAGGCCACCGGGGTGGGAGGAGGGGAGAGGACCTGAGTGTGGCCCCGGGGGCCCTGAGCTGCAGGTTCTGGGGGTCAGAGGTGACAGGTCAGTTAGAGGCTGTGCAGACATGGCAAGGGGGGGAGTCAGGCTATGGAGAGCAGTGAAGAGACTCTGTGTGTGTGTGTGTGTGTGTGTGTGGGCGCTGTAGCCAGGGGAATGGGAGTGAGGACAGGTGTAGCAATTATTCAGATGCCATTAATGTACCATTCTTTCACATTAGCTCATTTGATCCTGACAATCTTTTTATTTTATTTATTTGAGAGAGAGAGAGGGAGGGAGGGAGGGAGAGACAGAGAGAGAAAGGTTCTATCTGTTGATTCACTTCCCAAATGCCTGCAACAGCCAGGCTGGACCAGGGCAAAGCCAGGAGCTAGAAACTCAGCCCAAATCCCCCATCTCGGTGGCCGGCATTATCTGCCACCTCCGAGCGCACAGCCGCAGGAAGCTGGACGAGGGAGCAGCGCCAGGACCCCCATTCAGGCTCTGACATGAGTCACAAGGGTCAAAACCAGGCCAGACACCTGCCCGCAACACGCTCTGAGGAAGGGTGGTTAGCCTTGCAGCTGAGCGAAGCGCGGCTCAGAGAGATTGAGTGAGTGGCCCAAGGCCACACAGCAGAGCCAGTTTCCAATTTCTGCTTCTCCCCAGCTCCAAATCCCATGCTCCCTTCTCCTATGCGGCTTTGATTCCACGCCTGCGTGTGTGATCTCTTTCCAGGCAGGTGCTAATGTGGGCGTGCTACTATTCTGCATGTGTGCAGGCTTGTTAGCTGTGCCTGTGTGTGTGCGTGTGTGTGTGTTCTCCCGGCTGTCGACAAGCCTCCTACTCCTGACCAGCGAGAGGCAGGCGGGAGGAGGAGCCCCGCCTCTGCTGCCCGCCCCAGCCCAGCTCGGGTGCCCGCTCCGCTGGTGGCCGCCTCTCCCAGAGGCTGGGGGCTGCGGAGGGCGGTGGGGGGAGGCAGGTCACCGTGGCCGCCCAGGGACAATGGGCTTGCTTGTTACAAAGCTGGAGAGAGGACCCTCACTCTTACCAGGGCAGGGAGCTCCTTCCCCTCTCGCCACTGCACCTCCCACCAGCTGTCCAGGCCAGATGGACGGTCACCCCCATCACACTTGCCCCTCTCCACTCCTACCCCTCCTGCTTAAGGGACTTCTTGGGCACCTCCTGGAGGGGCAGAAATTTATGAGCCCCACACTGATTCCCCAATCACCTCGCAGCCGATCCATCTTTCTGGAGCCAGGGTTGAAATGAAATTATCGTGAAATAAATCTGTACAGATGACGGAGGGCCTGGCGGGGGAGGGGCAGCCAGGGGTGCGGGCTGATTCGGAGAGGCTGGGGCTCAGATGGGAGGGCCTTGGCCACGCCTCCCTAGCTGAGACCCAGAGGGGATCCCACTGACCTCCATAAACTGTTATCTAAAGAGTTGCAGGAGGGGCCCTCCAGCCTGGGCTGAGTCCCAGGGGTTTCGGGATCCAGGGGGCCAGTCCCAGAGCAGGGCAGCGCTGGACCAGGGCAAGTGGGGAAAAGACAGGGGAAGGTGGAGGTGAGGCCAGACTGGGAGTCAGGATCAAGTCGGGGAGATGCTTTGCGCGCATACTTAATTACCCACCTGTAAGTCCCAGAGCCAGGCCCCCTGCTGTGCCCAGTGTTAACTGTTTCATTTCTGGGGCTACACGGAGGGCCAGGGAAGAGACTAGTGCTGGCTGCAGACAGAGCCTGAGGGCAGCTGGTCAGCAGGTCAGGTCTGTGTTTGACCAACCTCTGCTGTGGGGCTGGAGCCTTCTGGCTGAACACCAGCCCGAGAGCCCTAGGGCCTCCTCCCTCCCCTTGGCCCGTCAGTAGCTGGATCCCCTCTCCAAAGAGCCTGTAGGGTCCCCAGTGTACTTACCAAGCCGGAGTGTGGTGCCCCCCGCTTTCCCAGCCAGCCCTTGGGGGACCCCCCAGCACCCCGAGCACTGTGATGGAAGCGGATGCAGCCAGCCAGCGGGGATGAGAACATTCGGCCCCCCGAGTGAGTGTGGCCTGAGCCACAGTGAAATGGCAGGTCCCGGGAGAGGTCAAGAGCGTGTCTGGCCACTGGGCAGGTCCGCGGCTCCCCAGCCCACCCGGGACCCCCCCTTCTTCTCCCCAGCAAGCGACACAGTGGCTTTGGGGGAGGGGGAGGGCCACACGGGCCATCGTCAGCACCCACTGATGTCGCAGTGGCTGGAGGCCAGTGTCTGAGTGCAGCGGCCGCGGGGGCTCTTGTTGGGTGGGATGGGGGTGGGAGCCGGCTGCAGACTGCCCTGGAAATGAGATTTGCCTCGTTATCGGTGCTTGCTCAGGCCTTGGGCCTCGGGCATCAACCAACGCAGCCAAGGAGTTAAGAAGAGGCGGGTGCTAGGCGGAGGCTGGGAGCTGAAACCCAAGCTGGGGTGGACAGAGCACCTGCTGGGACACGTGTCCCTGACGGGCGGTGTGCATGAGTGGGTTTCTGTCTCCGAAAGCATTGTGCTTTCCTGGTCAGTGTGGCTGTCCTTTAAAAGGAGGTCTGTGTGAGGGCTTTGCTTCCCGCTCGTGTGTGTCGCTGTTTCTCTGTAGCATGTAAGTGTGTTGCTGGGATTAGTATGCGCATGTCTGTTGGCTCTGTGTGTGTGTGTGTGTGTTTGTGTGCATGGACAGCCCCTGCATGCCTTCCAGTTTTGTTTGTGCATGCCCTGTTTATGCCCCACGCCATCAGAAGCCTGCAGGGCCAGACGTGGCACAAGTGCCAGGCCAGGTGGGCAGGGCGGGCAGGCTGGGCTGCACCCAGGGGCATTCTGGGCATCTTCCAGAGGCACCAGCCTGGCAGGGAGCGAAGGGCAATCAGCTGAGAGGCCGTGAGAGCAGGAGAGTGGGGCTGATTGAGGAAGAGGAATGAGTGAGGAGCCTCCTGGGGCCTGGCAGGGGGCGGTGGGCCGTGGGGGGCCCTGGCATCCTGATTAGGAAGGGGAACAGGTGCAGCTGGGCTTACCTGAGCCGCAGGAAGGCAGGCGGCTGGGGAGCTGGGGGGTGCAGAGAGGAAGCCCAGGAGCGGGACAGGGACAAGCTGGAGCCGGCCTGGCGCTGAGGGCCCCATGGACAACCTTGAGGGAGTACGGTAGGGGGTCCTGGGCAGGGGGCACGAAGATCATCCCCAACCTCCAGCTTATCCAGAACTCATTGTGGGCCTGACCATGGGCTGTGCACCTGCTGCTTAATCCTCAAGACGCACCGGTGAATTCTGCCATCAGCCAGCTCACCCACGGGCCCGCGGTACCCAGAGAAGTGAGGCAGCTCGCTGACGACCACACAGCTGCCCATTCAGATCTGCTTGCTCTTAGGTGGTTTCTAAATTTTTGTTTATTTGTTAGGTAGAGAAAGAGAGAGAAAGCAAGAGTGACAGCCGAACACCAGCCTGAGAGCTCTGGGGCCTCCTCCCTCCCTTTGCCCCAGCAGGAGCTGGATCCCCCCCTCCCCAAAGAGCCTGTGTGGTGGTCCGGCTCTAGGCTGGTGAATCAGGGGACAGGCCCTGACACACACACACACACACACACACACACACACACACACAGAGGGAGAGAGAGAGAGAGAGAGAGAGAGAGAGCAAGCTCCCATCTGCTGGTTTACTCCCCAAATGCCTGCAACAGCCAGAGCTGAGCTAGGTCAAAGACAGAAGCCAGAACTCCATTTCAGTCTCCCACATGGGTGGCAAGGACTCGAGTACTTGGGTCTCCTCCCACCGCCTCCCAGGTGCAGTAGCAGGGAGCTGGACGGCAAGCGATGGACAGACATGCCGCAGGCGTTCTGGTATGAGATGTGGGGTCCCGGGCAGTGGCTCTGCCAGCTGCGCCACCACCCCTGCTCCACTTTCTTGATTTTAGAGCCATCATTTTATTTTATTTTTTAGAAAGATTTATTTTTATTCATTTGAAAGGCAAAGTGACAGAGAAAGAGGGAGAGGGAGAGACAGAGAGAGAAAGAGATCTTCTACCTACAGGCTCATTCCCCAAATGGTGCAACCCACTGAAACCAGGAGCCCAAAACTCACCCGGGTCTCCCACGTGGGTGCAGCGGCCCGAGCACTTGGGCCATCTTCCGCTGCTTTCCCAGGCGCATCAGCAGGGAGCTGGATCGGAAGTGGAGCAGCTGGGACTCAACCCTCTGCTCCAATATGGGATGCTGGCGTTGAGGGTGGCGGCTTCACCCATGGCACCGCAGTGCCAGCCCCTTGATGCTGCCTCTGCCACTCCCAGGCCCCTCGGCCAGTGGGGTGAAGTCACAGGAAGAAAGATCGCAGGCACGGCAAAAGAGGACTTCCCAGATCCACCTGGCTCACCAGCAGGTCGTCTCAGGAGGTGGCGAGATGCCCACCACTGGAGGTGTGCAAGGTGAGGCCCCTGACAAAGGGGCTGCTTGCTACAGGAGACTGGATTCCATTGTGACAAAAGCTGTGAGGTGGACTTGGGTCAGAGCCTCTGGGGTAGAGCCCCAGCTCCACGGTTTACTCACTGTGTGGCCTTGGGCAAGTAGCTAGGTCTCTCTGTGCTTCCGTTTCTCACGTGCAGAATGGAGGGGTGTGAGGCTCGCGTGGAAGTGCACAGGGCTGGGAGTAAGTGCTAGCAGTGTGTGTGTGGGGGGGGGGTAGAGTGGGATGGGTGGGGTGTGGAGGGTCACAGCCAGCTGGGGGAGGGGCTGAGCAGAAAGCCAGGGAGGAAGACAGGTGTTTGAGGCTGAGGCTTGAGGGAGGTGTGGGGTTCATGCTGTCTGGGCCTCGAGTCTCCCCTGGGCCGTTGCTCCAGCCTCCTTCCTGCTTCTCCGGTCTGTTCTCAGCCCCTTTGGAGTGGACCGGGTCACTGCTTCGTCTGCAGCCTTCGCTGGCTCCCCTCCGTAGGCGGAGGGGATTCTCGAGGGGTGGGGGGGTGGGGAGAACTCCCAGACTCAGGGACGGCCTCAGGTGATGCCCTGGGGGTGTCTCAGTTCCCTCTCAGTGCCCAGGACATCCCAGGCGGAGGCCGCCGGGAGGTCAGCTCAGACTCAGAGCCGTCGGCCAACAGTGAGAACTCAGCATCTCCAGTTTGTCCTAAAACTTGACTTCTCCCTCCGTTTCCTTCTCTGCTCGGCTCCTCAGTGTCATGCTTGCTTGTGTGCCCTCCTGCCTCCTGCCTGCTGGGCTGCCCCCCGCCCCCGCCCGGCTCCCTCTTGGCTCATCCTCTGCAAGCTGGCCCTCAACACTCAACACAGGTGCACCGTCAGCTGCACGCCAACCCTTCTTGTCCAGGACTCCATCAGGTCCCGTGGCCTTGAACCCCACCAGCGATTGCCAAAGGCACCTCCTCAGGTTCAGGTCAGTTTCCAGCTGCCTTCCTGATATCTTCCCTCGGATGTGCAGCCTGGCGTTGGGGAGCAGAGCCTGGCACGGCCCCCGCCCTCCGCCTGGCCCTGTGGCAGTAGCTGGTCAGCCAACCAGGACGCCTCCTTAATTCCCTGGCCTCCTCACCCTCCCCATCGGATCCATCAGCCACGCCTGTCACTTTACCTACAAAACAAGGTCTGAAACAGCCCTGGAGTGAGCCCGTGTCACCCCTCACTGCATGCAGCGGTGGCCGCTGCCCCGGTCTCGCTGCTGCCTCCTGGCACCCTGAGTACCCAGCACACAGCAGCCAGAGGGGCTCTGCAAAGCCGCCATCCGGTGACGTCACTCCACTGCTGAGAGTGCACAAAAGCACCCGCCTTTGCCCTGGCTCCCGAGGCCTTGTGTGCTGCAGTCGTTTTCTGGCCACGCGTCCCCCTTCATCCCGCAGGGCTCTCCCCTCCTTGCCCACTCCGGGGCTATCGCACGGCCCCATTTTGTCCTTGAACTTACCAAGTCCCCCTCCACCGCCTCCCTCTGCCCGGACTCTCGCCCTTGGCCTTGGTGTTCTCGCAGCTTCTCTTCCTCAGCTGTGTGCTGAGGGCCAGCTCCCCGGAGGCCCTCCCTGACCACACTGCAGTAATGTGGCTCCCAGAGATGATGGCACCCCTGTCTCTGCTCTCTGCAGAGTGGGACACGTTCCCTGTCTTCCACTGGTGGCTGTTTTCTTTCATGCAGTTGAAGAGGCCCTGGCACTGGTTCGAGTCCCGGCTGCTCCACTTCTGATCCAGCTCTCTGCTGTGGCCTGGGAAAGCAGTGGAAGATGGCCCAAGTGCTTGGGCCCCTGTACCCATGTGGGAGACCTGGAAGAAGCTTCTGGCTCCTGGCTTTGGATCAGCACAGCTCTGGCCATGGATGGAATACCTCTCTCTCTGTCTCTCCCTCTCACTGTCTATAACTCTACTTCTTAAATAAATATTTTTTTTTTAAAAGAGGCCCTGTGAGTAGAAATGTCACCTGTCACTTGTCACTCAGTGCTGAGAATGGTGTCTGGGTCATAAGAGATAATTAGGACGCGTTAGTTGATTGCATTAATGAGTTTTATTTATTTTTACAATCCTCCTTGATGAATGGATAGCTGGTGTCATTGTTTTTCCATTTTAGCTAGGGATATCCAGTTTCCTTTGAAGAATAAAGCAAGAAGGATCTGATAAGAGACTTGTGTCTAGAATGCGTGAGAACTCATCTATAAAAAGAGAAATACAATTTAAAAAGTGGGCAAAGGATTGAACGGACATTTATCCAAGTGTGCCCAAAAGCACACGAAGGGGTGTGCAGCATCCTTGTGGGAGAAACACAAATCCAACCCGCAGGGAGACACCCGCTGGGACCACAGTGCGTTATTCCGGCGTTAGAGAGGCTCCGGTCAGGGTGGCAGACGATGGCGAGTGTCGGCAGGCCGGGGAGAGGTTAGGCTGCTTGTACGTCCCTGGGGGAGTATCCCTGGGTGCAGACACGTTGGAGACGGTTCGGCAAGTCCTCAGAGAGGTAACCGCCGCGTGGCCGTCACCGTGCGGTGTAGCGGTGCCTCGCCTGGTTCAGACCCAAGAGGAACGGAAGCATCTCCATACAGAGCTCCTACACGCATCTCATTCAGAACAGCGAGGCAGCAGAAACAGCTCCAGGGCCCCTCGAGGAACAGGTGAACAGTGTGGGGCATGCACACCCAGTGGAATATTATACGACAAGGAAAAGGAGTGGGCACGGAGCCCTGCCCGCCCCGAGGCTGACTCTCGGACAGTCTGTGCTGCTCCAGGGAAGCCCTCACAGGAGGGCCCTGGTGTCCGACTCCGGAAGGAAGCGTCCGGAGCAGCGAGGTCTACGGGAACAGGAGGCCAGTCCTGCGGGGAGGGGGCAGGCCAGTCCTGCGGGGGGGGGGGCAGGCCAGTCCTGCGGGGGGGGTGGGGAGCTGGCGAGGGGGAGGGGCAGTGCCTGATACCGGGGGACCGGGTTACTTTTTTGGGGGTGAGGGTAATTGTTCTGTGCGACTTGGGGAACACACTAAAAACCACTGACCTGTACAGTTTAAAAGTGAATTTCATGTTATGTGAATCACATCTCAATAAAATTATTACTAAAGGAAACATGACGGTGGTACAGGGCGGCAGAGCCACGGGAGGGGCCGTGAGAGGCTGCCGTTGGCTTCCCGGCTTACAAGGGCAACGTCTAGACGCCCGGCTGAAGATCCCGGCTCCGTGGCCCACTGTCCGCACACAGCTGTATTGGCCAGAACACCCCGGCACCTCTCCAGTTACTTATCTTTGCAACTGTGGGGCCCCTTTCTCCTCCTGGTATCATTCAACCCACTCAACCTCGGTGGGCCCGACACGGGGTGGGCACGGGCCAGGCACTGGGCCCCCGACTGCTGATCCAGTGCAGGGAAGCCAGGCGGACGCTCACGGACAGGATGGGGCCGACCCAGCTCCTGGGCAGGATGGGGCTGACAGATGAGCACCGTGCAACGCCGGGCCTGGGGAGCAGTCCCAGGAGAGTCCGCAGGAGAGCGGCGGGAGGACCCGGAGGTCGGGACAGCCCCCCACCCCCGCCCCAAGCAGGGGAGAGTGTCCCAGACAGAGGGGCAGTCTGGGTGGAGGCCTCAAGCCCAGAAGGTGGGAGGGAGGGGTGGGGAGAAACGGAACAGGGAGGGAGCGGGCGAGCGAGTGCCAGCCTGGCAGCCAGGGCCTTGGCACCGCAGCCAAGGAGTCTGTGTGTTTCCGGAGCTCTCTGAGGCTCCATACCATACGACGTTCTGGTTATGGTGCCGGTAGATCCGGGCCCCCTGCGAGACACAGCCATCTGCTTCCCGTCTCACCTCCCGGACAGGCCCGGCTCACGGAGACACCGGATGCCTGGATTGACCTGCGGTCTCCTCCGCTTCGTGGAGTTACTGCCAGTCAGGGCCCAGCGGCCTCGGCGGCCCCAGGGCCCTCGCAGGGCGTGCTCATTAGAGAATGAGTGAGCGAATGAGCGTCTGCCCACCTGTCACGAATTCCTAGGGGCTGAGGCCCCCGGGACGTCCATCCCCAGCGCCCAGGACGCTGCCTGGCAGAGAACAGACACTTGAGGTTGAACTAGATGAGTCGCTTCTGGGAGGGGGCGCCCTGGGCAGGCTGGCAGTGGGGGCTGATACCAGTGCCTCCTGGCTCCACGCGGAGATGCCCAGATGGCGGGGGTCTCGGGGCCCAAGTCGTGGGCTGCGCTGTGTGGACAGGAGTAGCCTGGGTGTGTGGGGGTGGTCCTGGGGGTCCCTGACCTACCCTGCTCACGAGTTCCTCCGCCCCAACCTCTTCCGAGGGCGATGGGGGGCTGGGACAGATGGTGGGGGACAAGGAAACCCCTGCCCTCCTCCATCTGTTACATTTAATTGACTTCCCGCAGAAAGAAAAAAAATAATAAACCAGTTGCAAGGATGAAATTGCTAATTAAAAGGCCCTCTGATTAGATAGACAAATATTTACCAATTATGCCTGACCCTGCCTGTCCCTCTTATGTCAGCAAACTCCTCTGTCGGTTCCGTGGCTGCGTCACGGCCAGCTGGTGGCTCTTCCCCCAATCCGTCTCTGGGGATCAGGCTGACTGTGGGCCAACCAGGGGAGGAGAGAGGCGAATGCTGGCAAAAAGTCGTTCAACAAACACAATGCCTGCTGCGTGCTCCGCGGGGGGCCCTGGGAAGCCAGAGCAGGATTTCCGGGGACAGTGTTGCACCCGGGCGCGCCTCTGTGCAGGGGGGACTCCGCTGGCCAAGCCAAGTCCACCGGAGCGTGCCCATGCCACAGGGGTGCTCGGTGGGGGAGAAAAGCATGCCTACGGTGAGTAAAGTTTCACTTAACAAACATTTATTGAGCTTGAAATCTTTACTTAATATATGCTAAATTGATCTTCTGTATATAAAGATAATTGAAAATTAATCTTGATGTGAATGGAAGGGGAGAGGGAGTGGGAGAGGGGAGTGTTGTGGGTGGGAGGGAAGTTATGGGGGGGAAGCTATTGTAATCCATAAGCTGTACTTTGGAAATTTATGCTCATAAAATAAAATAAAATATTAAAAAAAAACACTTATTGAGCACCTAGTGTTTGCCTAGCCCTGTGTTAGGCGCTGAGGGTGAGCACACCTTTCCTGCCCTCCACGATCCCTGGCTCCTGGGAAGAGAGGACCATGCATCCGGGGGCTCCCTCCCTGCTTCCCCTCTGCCTTCATGGCAAATAATCTCTGGCCGCCTGGACGGACAGCACTGACCTTCACATCCTGGCTCCACCAGGCCCTGCTGCGTGCCCCTGGGCGAGTTCCCTCCCCTCTCTCTGTGAATTGGGGATAATAATGGAAACAGCATCCTATGATGGGGGAGGAGCTAACATGGGCAACTCCTGCCCAGTGGAAGTGCTCCATAGAAGGCGGCTGTGTTTCTGGAGTGTCTTTGGTAGACCTCCCTGTCGCTTGGGGACGCAGAGGGGCGTCTCTCCTGTTTCCTCTCTTGGGACTCAGCGTGGAACACGCCCACGGAAATCCAGCGTGTGACACGCACGACGTGCGCACGCTCAGGCTGTGCTGACCGTAAGTTGTGGCAGCAGGGCGCGGTCTGGAATGAAGGAGTCTTAGCTTAGAGAGGGGCTCTGGGCGGGGGCCGGTGTTGTGGCGCAGGGGGTTAAGCTGCCACTTGCAAGGCCAGCATCCCATATTGGAGGGCTGATTCGAGTCCCTGCTGCTCTACTTCTGATCTGGCTTCCTGCTGATGTGCCTGGGAGAACAGCGGAAGATGGCCTGAGTACTTGGGCCCCTGCCACCCACAAGGGCTGCAGTTCCAGGCCCCTGGCTTAGGCCTGGCCACTCTGGCCATTTGGGGAGTGACCCAGATCTCCTTCTCTCTCTGTCTCTCCCGTTCTCTCTCTGTCACTCTGCTGTTCAAATAAATCTTTTTTATGCTTTTTTTTAAAAAGAAGGTTGGGTTGTCTGGAGACCAACCTGGGGAAAGGGAGCGCTTGCCTGGGAAGGTAGTGAGCTCTACATCACCGGAGCTGGGCAAGCCTGAGTGTGTGAGTCAGCTCCAGCCATCGGACGCTGGCTTCCGGCTTGGCAGGCCCCTCCTGGGCCAGCTGGGCAGGCCCGTGGAAGCCTGCCATGGGTGATGTCCTGGGAGTCTGTTCCTCCAGCAAAGAGACAGCCTGGCTTCCTGCCGTGTGTGCCCGTTCCCTGGGGCAAAGCATTGATGGTGGGACCACAGGCAAAGCACAAAGAAGCAACCTCCAGCCCCTTTTAGGAGGACCAAGCTGGGGTAGGAGAGAGTTGGGATGGCTTGGAGACCTCAGTCTCTCTATCTGTAAAGCAGCAAAAGAAGGGACCAGAAAATACCAAGCACCCAGCCCCTTGTTTCCTTTCTCCCATCCTGAAATGACAAACAAGGCGGACTGAACACTCACTCCAGGCCCCAGCACTGGGCCAAGCCTGCTGTGGGTGGCAAGCATCTCAGTTAAGCCCTACAACAACCCAAAAGGCAGGCGCTGTTGTTTTCATGCCCATTTCATAGATAAGGAAACTGAGGCCCTCAAAAGTCGAGTCAGTTGTCCAAGTTCACCCGGCATGGAAATGACAGAACCCAGTCACAAGGCCAGGCCTGGCTGGCGCTGAAACCCGAGATGCCCCCCCACCTGCCCAAACCACATGCCGGGGAACACCCCCCACTCCCCGGGCCCCTCCTGGGCTCATACCAGACACCCCTTGCCGGGCCTTCTCTCTAGTGGGATATATTTTATCTAAATTTGATAAGACAACTTAATTTCACTCCGTGTCTGTTACTGGCGATAAAACCGGGAGACTTTTATGACCCAGCGTCCCGGCAAGATTGTCAGGAACTTATTATACAAGGTCTAACTGGATTTCTCTCTGCACATGGCTGGGAGCCACGGGCTGGAACGTAGCTCGGCAACACATTTGGGGGAATAAATGCAAAACGCTTGTTCCACAGACTTAGATAAGGCTTCTGAGCGCCCCGAGAATCCCATCTGCCTTTCCTGCGCCCGCGGGGCGAGGGGGCGCGTGGATCTGGTCCCATGGGGGGAGCAAGGGTGATGGGCTCTGTCCTTTGATCTTTCTTGCTCCACGAAGAAACGTGGAGGTGCCGGAGATTTGGGGTTCCGCAACAGCAGCCCCTGGAGAGTCGGCAGTTAGGTAGAAGTGGGGGTGGGGGAGCGGAGTGGGGACAGAGGGCACAAGGACACATGGGCTGTGCTCGGGGACCAGAGGGAAGCAAGAGCTGGGCGGGCCTTCCCCTGGCTGGGCGGGTCTTCTCCCCTGGCTGGGCGGGTCTTCCCCCTGGCTGGGCGGGTCTTCTCCCCTGGCTGGGCGGGTCTTCCCCCTG